TAATAGGAGGTGATGACACTTGTAATTGCTAGGCACATAGCTCCAAATGAGGGTCTTATCAGCTATCTTATAGGGTTGTATTTGCATGCAAGAGTTGGTGCACAAGGTTTGTCATTTGGTTGGCGAATTTTTTGGAGTTTGTTAGGGGTACCCTCTGCTCAAATTTTATTGAGCTTTGGAAAATGATGGAAATTGACATCTAATTGGTGTAGAGTTTTTCAATTTGTATTTATTAGGCCCAACTTTTGGAACTCAAAGACCTGGTCTTACCACCTTGGTTTGGGGTAGGCACCAAGATTTTGAACTTGTTATATTTTATAAATTAGGGGTTGTTGAATTGTTAACGCACAAATTGAGGCAACAAACAAATGCTCTATTTAAGCCTCGATGCTTCACCCATGCCAATTGTTCTTCTACACTCTTGGAAAGACTGATGATGACCTAAGAACCCAACTTGAATAGCCTAATTTGCTCAACTACCTGGTGCGATTTAGGTGAATTGTCTGTTCAATCAGACCTTAGAGAAATTTCTTTTTATTATTTTTGGACAGTTGTTAGCCATAAACTGTGCCAACTTTGCTGTCGGTGGCCAGAGGGGTATGGGCAAATCTCACATTTTCCAGAACATTCATATCGTTTTTGAATTTTTTTAGAAAAATAGATATTTTTTATAATTTTCCCACATGAAAGACATGATTATGTGCCTTGAAATGGACTTGGGAACATCTAAGCCATCTTTTTTTTTTTTTGAATAATTTTGGAATATTTATTTATGACTTTTTTTTTCTGTATTTTTTTTAAGTCATCAATATATTTTCCCATTGTATTTTGTAATTTCAAAAAAGTCCAAGGGCCCTATTTCAAACTTCTAAATTCAATTTGTTACTCACACTAATAACACAATTATTGGCATGGATGAAAAAGTTTAATTAAAAAGACCCTGACACAAAACAAAAGATTCAAGGGCAATCAAATATCATGTGGTGACATCATAATACTTGAGGCATATTATGGGATTATTAGTGCCATGGTGTATCATAAATACTCCCACGGCCTAAGGTTGTAATGGGGACCCATAATATACCGCAGGTGTTGAGGCTAAACGTCATGGGTTCTCGAGATAGACAAGAAGCTAAGCTATAAATAAATGAATTTATTTGTTAGTTTTTGAATGTTCATAGCTTATTCTTTGTGCCGGTAAGGAGGGAGGCGGAGGGACTCTCATTTGACTTCATATGTGTCCCAACCAAGTTCATTTTTGGTTCCCAGTGATGAGCCTGTATCATTTTGTGTGCGATATATATTTTTATACTTCATTTACATTACACGCTCTTGGTTTGGTTCTACTTATTTTGTTTATTATATTGTTCGATGCTGATCAATGTTCATTTCAACTATATTTTTGTGATGTACTTGTGGTGAAGGGCGCAATTATTTTATCTAAATCTTGATTTTATAGAAAATTATGAGATTTGCATAGCTCCAAATGAGGTCTTGTTTGCTGTGCTCAGATTTTATTTAGTTTTGGAATAATGGGGGAAATTGACAACAGATTACCCAACTAATTCAACTCAAAGAGCGGTCTTACTACCTCATTGTGCAGTAACGATTGAGATGTGAATTATTATTATTTTTTATAGTACGAGGGTTTGTTAAATTCTTGGCACTTATAGATTGAGTCCACAAACACACATTCTACCTTGTTTATCAAGTTTCTTGCAAGTCTTGCATCACCAAGGTCAGTAAGTCTTTAGTGCTTTTCGAAATACAAAAGATGACATGAAATCCTAAATTGTATCTCCTAATCAACTATGACTTTTTGGAGCAGTCCATGCGAATTGTTGATACAATTAGGTTCAAGTGAGGTTTCATTTATTATTTTTTGATAGCTGTTGGATCAAAATTGTGCCAACTTTGCCTTTGGTGGATAAAGGGGTTTTCTGCATATCCCATATTTTCCCCAACATTCATAATTTTTTTCTTCTTCTTATTATTTTTTTAATTTGGGTTTTGCTTCTGTATTTTCCTTCAATGAAAGATTGATAAGTGCATGCCTTGAAATGGATTTTGGATCATTTGAACCAACTTTGCCTTTGTTTTTTTTGGGATATTTTTTATTATTAATTTGGAATCACTAGGATATATTCTATTTTTTATTTTGCAATTTCAAAAAAGAAAATGTTATATTCTACACTTGTAAATATGACTTGATGTGCACATTGAGGCGACATAGGCTTATTGGTGTGGATGAAAAGTTTGATTTAAAAGCTCTGAGACATAGCATGAAATAAAGTTTCATGGTCAAATCGATTATATTGTTTCATCTTATATGGTCAAATCATAGCGCTAGCGCCTAAGATTTATCGTTGGTGAATTTGCAACACTATACATTGTTAGTTTTCACCAATGGTTGGCACCTACAATTTATCATTGGTGTACCTGTAGTATCACGGGCACTCAAGAGAAACAAGTAGCCAAGCTATCAATGAGGTACTTTATGTGCATGTTTTATACTGTTTAGATCTAATTCTTTTGTTTCACCTTCTTAATGGTGAAGTTGTGTGTCAGACTAAAAGAAATGAGGTGGTGTGCAAGGCACTATGACTAAATGAGCCTCTGTAGCTTCAAAAAAGCGTGCATGGGTGGTGCATGAAACACTAAGTAGAAGCAAAAAATCTTTACCATATCAAAGAAGTCCCGCATAAGAGCTTGAGATAGGGATTCACTTCAAAGAAATGTAAAATAAATTCATTGTGTGCCCCATTATTTTAAGAACTTTTATGTGGTTACATTGTTAGCCTTAACTCTGCAAAGAGCAAAATGTACCCCCCCCCCCCCATTAGCTGGAGTCGTTGATGCATAGACATTGAAGAAAAAGACACATATGCACAAAAAAACTTCTCTCCCTCACCCTTCCTTTCATTTTATAGATGGGAGAAAGGGTGTTTGTTGAGCTCCGGACTAGGAGTTTCTTCCCAATGATATTTGTCTTGAACTTTTGATGATATAGAGGGTTAAGGACATATGCCGTGATTTGCCATTCTCCCACCACTGTCCAGGGTGTGGATTCCATCGCTAGACTACAAATTGGGTCTATCAATATGGCCCATGCTTCCTATAGTTTCACATTGTGGAACCAAAATAGACTTTAAAAGTAATGTATGATGTTGTTTTATTGGAAAGTTTATTTTTTATTTATGCTTTCTCTAGCGACACATTGTGGAACTAAAATAGATATAAAAAGTAAAGAATTATTTGTTTTATCTGATGGTTTATTTGTTAAAATACCTGGGCATCAATGTATTTGAGAAGGTATTCTTTATGAATACGAACAATAACAACAACTTTTAATCCCACTATGTAGGTCAGCTATATGAATCTTTTTATTTTCCATTGTATCTTATTAAGAGTCCAATTCTTATTTAAATCTAATAAAAATGTCTTTTTTAATATTTCTAACCAGTCTTTTTAAGTCTATTTCTATCTTTCTTAACATAGGTCGAATCTAGGGGTGCAAACGAGTTGAGTCAAGCTCGAGTCACAGCTAACTCGAGGTAGACTCGTCACTCAAATAAAGAGCTCGAACTCAAGCTCGAGTCAAGCCCAAAGAACTAGCTCGAACTCGACTCGAGCATTCTTTCTTAGGCTCTGAGAGCTAGACTCAATATAAGTTGTGTCGGGATTTCTTCTTCATCAAACAAAGTCACAGACTGCCTTTCCCCAAAAAAAAAAGTCACAGATCATTTTACAGCTAGATATCCGAGAAGAACAAGCGAATATTGGGGAGGAAGAAGCGGGTTTAGCTTTTTTTTTTTGTTTTGAAAAGGTTACCAAGTACATAACCATTATTTTTTTTGGGGAAGATGACCATTAATTAATAATGAAAAAACTGCGGAAAGCTATTGTGATGTTTTGTTTTAAATGCTATTATTAAACATATAAAATTTGAATATTTATTTGACTTAAAAAACATTTTTTTAATATTTAATTTATTTAAACCAGCTCGCAAGTCTACGAGCTGAGCTTAATCAAACTCGAACTCATTTGATATTCGAGCTCGTGGCTCGATAAGCTAGACTCGCAAGCTTGTTAGCAAGTAGAGTTCGAGCTGGCTCACGAGTCGGCTTGGCTCATTTACACCCCTAGTCGGATCTAATATATCTACTTTCCTAATAAGGTCATCGAAAGGTCAATATTTTATTTGACCACCCCATCTAAGACGACTCTCTTTAATCTTACCTGCCACTGATCCAACCTTTTCATATATATACTCATTTCACATTTTGTCTTTAAGAGGCTTAAGCTGCTCATCCACTTGAGCATCCTCAATCTCTACAATACCTAAGTTAATTTATGTTTTTCTTTTAATGGCCAACATTATTATTATTATTATTATTATTATTATTATTATTTTTTAATGGCCAACATTATGTAACACAAAGTATCTCAAGTCTCACAACCACTATATAAAATTTTTCCTTAAGGGGTACTTTTCTATCACATAATAGGTTTGAAGCATTCTTCCATTTAACCATCCAACTTGAATTTTATTAATAATATCTCAATCTATTTCACTATCGTTTTAAACAATAGACCCAAGATATCTAAAATGGAAAAAAAAAAAAACCTTGTTTCAACTGCTATAATCTTAAGCTTTTCATTGATAGTAGTCAAATTAAGTTTGCCTTATATATCATAATTTTAGTTGGTCAATAGTTAAATTCATTTTCTTTTTCCCATATTTAGCGGCCTTTTTTTATGCTTATTTATTTGATAAGTAGTTTTACCTTACATATTGAAGTTCGTAATGTTTCTGTTGCTGCTGATTTATGATGACATTCCAAACGTAAAATTGAGATTAAACAATGTAAAAATTACTCCCTTCTATGTGGTTATTGATGCCAATTTCTGTCACATGGACATTACCTTAATAATATTTAGTTTATCTTCTTTTCTATTTGATGATTGCGAAACATTTGACTGTTGTAATCTACGCACAGGAAGCACCTGCTGTGATTCAGTCATATTATGACAAAAGGATAGTTGGTTGTCCTGGAGGTGAAGGAGGTAAATGTGCCTTTTTCCTTTGCTGGTTACCCTTAGATACTTCGACTAATGTTCCATACTTCACAAAGTTCATCTTCAGGGGTTTTCTTGCATCCATTACTAACTTGTTTGTGCATTATATTTATATCTACAAAAGAGAAATCAATCGTTTAGACTTGAAACATCGGAGTGAATGGGGTTTCATTAATTCAAGTGATTTTTTTTTTGTTTATGTTTTTTGTTCTCTAGAGGATGAGCACGATGTTGTGTGGTTCTGGCTAGAGAAGGGCAAGCCACATGAATGTCCCGTGTGCTCCCAATATTTTGTGGTAAGTAGACTATGATTCTTACTGATCTTTACGTTGATTTTTATGCCAGCTATGTTGCACCGATACACCTTTTTATGAAGGCGTGCTGTATCGGATACGTGTTGGATATGGATACACGTTCGATACGACACCGATACGTCCAGCTATGTTACATCGATACACCAATTAAAAATAATATTTAATTTCAGAAGGACACGCTTATCCGATACGCATGTCCCGTTGATAAACTAAAAAAAAATTCCGAATTTTTTTTTAATTTTTATTTTTTTGTTAAAAAAAAAAATCCTAGAAAAATGACACAAAGAGGACTAATATTGAGAAGTTGTTCGAGCCAACCAAAGGAGTATGGAAGGAAAAAGGAGTAGACTAGACATTTAATGCTTACTTTTATTTTAATATTATAAGCTACAAGGCTACAAATGATGTTTCTTTCATTTTTTGTCATTTCAAATATTATTTTTTGATTGATTTCTTAATTTTAATGTATGATTTATAAATTATAATGTCATGTCTGTGTCATGAGTCATACCCGTATCCTATATTTTTAAGAATTGACGTGTACCGTATCCGTGTCGCCGTGTCGCCGTATTTGTATCGGTGCAACATTGTATGCCAGTAAGTCGCATCATCATTGTATGTTTTGCTAGTTAGTGAGTTCGTTCCTAATTAGTTTCCATTTCTGCTCTTTTCACTTTCCAGTTGGAGGTTGTTGGCCCAGGAGGGCCTCCAGATGGACATGGTGATGATGATGAACATCATTAAGGAAGCAGGAGTTTATTTTTTGCAAATAAGATTTGGCGAGTGTTGTAGTAAGCTGCTGAAAAGCTAGAACTTTCAAACAGCTTATTGTTTTTTGTTTTGTTTTACATTTTCGAGTAGTTTATTCAGCCACTTTTTGATATCTTTTCTAGGGTCATTAATGCTTATTCAAATAATTGATGGATGAATTAAGCTCCATTATGTTTCTTCTGTTTTGACCAGCCATATAACGATTGTAATTTTTTCCAGAATTACATATGTTTTATCAGGATAATTAATCACTTTACCATCTTTTGTTCAGTTTCACCCCTGAAATATATAAACAGAGTAAAGATTAGCTATTTTCTCATGAATGACCAGTCCAGTTTGCATGTCCTGAATTTTTTCTTAAAAGAAGTATACAGAAATTAAGGCATCTTTAAAATTTCACGCTATGGTGCGCAGTTGAAGTATATTTTTTAATTATTTATATGTCAAATGTCCTGAAGAACAACATTTTCAATTTTTTTTTTAAATTTAATGTAAATATATTAGTTTTTTAGGGTTTAGGGTGTATTCTTCAAATTGTTTTTTAAAATGTAAATAGGTCAATTATATGTGTTAGGAAAATTATGTTTGTTTTTCAAATACATAGCTGTGTATTGATGTATGCAAATTTAGATATAAGTTCATATCAATACAAAGTATTATATTTGTTCACTTTTTGAGCTTTTTGAGCTTGTGCATATCTGTATATTAATTAAATTATGTTTGTAATGTATTTATACTCCTAATATGCAGCTGTGTACAAGCTTAGATATAAGCTTATAGCAATACACAATGCTATATTTTTTTCATTTGGAAGTTTTTTGAGCTTGTACATAACTGTGTAATAGAGAAATTATATTCGTTATGTGTTTATTCTTCTAATACACAGTCGTGTATTATTGTGCACAAGCTTAGAGCAATCACAGTGTTATATTTGTTTATTTGAAAGTTTCTTGAGCTTGTACACATTTATGTATTAGTGAAATTATGTTCGTAATGTGTTTATACTCCTAATATACATTTGTATATTATTGTGTACATGCTTAGATACAAGTTTATATCAACATAGAGTATTGTATTTGTTCATTTGGAAGTTTTTTGAGCTTGTACACAACTGTGTATTAGAAAAAATTATGTTCGTAATGTGTTTATGCTCCTAATACAGAGCTGTGTATTGCTGTGTAAACTTAGATATATGCTTCGCATGTTTGAATCAAGGGTTTTCGTTCTACTTGAGGACTTCTTTGGTCTAAATGGAGACAATATTTCATGAGTAGAATGAGTGAGATGATTGAGGCGTTGAGGGGATTTAGAGATGGGGAGGGGACTTTCTGAGGATAATTGGGGGGTTGAGAGGTGGGAGGTGGAGAAGGAATTTTCTGAGTAGAATGAGGTGGATAAATCTACAGGAGGTTTATTTTCATCTGCACAAAAGTGATTGTCAAAATAAGCACACAAACAAATCACATTACATATCCTATTATGTTAAGTGGGGCAGAGTGTCATCCCCCCATCTTGAAGGATCAAATAAATTCGAGACATGTATTTCGTTATAAAATAAATGATTGGCCGAACGAAGGAAACAGGGTCTTGCGATATTATCTATTTTAGATGCTTCAATTGATGTGTGCTTCAGAAATCAAATCTATATATAATCATGAGTAAGATTAGTTCCAAATTAAGTATTAATTAAAGAGATCCTTAGATGCTGTTAGCATTCACAATTAGCAATGGTACAAAACCATTTATATAACCTAGTGGTATGGAATTAACAAATTTTATGACAATAACATCGAACTGAGCAACTAAGAAGTCTCTAATGGCCGCTGTCCAATTGCAAGATGAGAACTCATCTATTATGTGCAACACTGATTAGACTCGTCGAGGTTCTATAATCATAGATTCCTCTAAATGTTGATGTTCTACAATGAAATTTGAGATTTGGAGTGTACATCTGCAAACATTGTGTGGATGGGTTAACAAAATTTTCAACATAATTTTTCCAATATAGAGGCGTGGACAAGTTCCAAAATATTTAAAACGAACAAAAATAAAATAAAAAATATTGTAATGGTTGTCTCAAAGCCTGTACATAACAATACACATCTGTTTATTATGTTAAATTTACATATATCTAATATAATATCCCCAATACACTACTATGTACAACCTCCAAAAGATTTAAAATGAGCAAAAATAATACAGAAAATATTAGAATTGTTGTCTCAAAGCCTATGCACAATAATACACAGTCATGTATTATGTTAAATAAAAATATATCCAACATAATTCATCTAATACACAGCTGTGCACAAGCTCAAAAAACTTTCAAAAAAATAAATTTTACATAGAAACTATTGAAATGGTTGTCTCAAAGCCTGTACGTAGCAATACACAATTGTGTATTAGGTTAAATAAATATGTTTCCAACATAATTTATCTAATATACAACTGTGTACAACCTCAAAAGATTTAAAATGAACAAAAATAATACAAAAACTATTGGAATTGTTGTCTTAAAGCTTGTGCACATAAATACAAACTTATTTGGTCCGGTGAACGTACGCAGCTCTACGTTCGGCCACCAATCTTATAACGCCACGTAGCATGCAGAAAACCGCGGACCTGACCCGGTGAATAGTGGGTTTGGCGCACGTGCGTATTTTAATCCTTGACGACCCGACAAACAGCCCGTCACCCTTTCGTTAAAAATTCAAATATTTACCTACATTACTGCTCGGTATTGCTAGGTATTGTCAATTTTGCTCGGCAATAACCAATACCAAGCAATACCGAGCAAATACCGAGCAATACCGAGCAAATACCGAGCAATACCGAGTTTTTCTAGAAAAACTCGGTACAACTCGGTATTGCTCGGTATTGGTCTTCACAGAGCGGTATTTCTCGTTATTGCCAAACAATACCTAGCAATACTGAGCAAATACCGAGTAATACATCGCAATACGCGAACATAGCAATCCCGAGTTCCGGTTCGGGTCAAGTCGTCGGGCCGCGCGGTAAAGAGTAAGAGCAGGTGGCGACATATTATTGATGGCCGAACGTAGCTCTACGTCCGGTCAGAGGACGTAATAATTGTTCCATAAATTCACACCTATATATATATAAGCTCAAAAAACTTTCAAATGAATAAATTCTTCACGTAAAATATTGAAATCATTGTAAGAAAGCATGTACACAATAGGGGTGTCAATATTTGAACCAATCTAAAACTAGATTTATTGACTAGATGGCCTCTTAAAAGTCCGCATAGATTTGAAATCATTGTAAGAAAGCTCAACCGATTGATAACCAATCTAAAACTAGATTTATATGTCTTCCACAAATAAATTTGGAACCAATAGAATAACTCCCATAGTAAGTGTAGTGGTGATGGGCTTGGGCTGGGACGCTAGATGGCCTCTTAAAAGTCCGCATAGATTTGATCTATTGAAAAAAAAGGTCCTTTTAGGTATTACTAGTTGCTATATACTCCCCAGTTAGGTTGTGAACAAGGTTTATTGATTAGAAAATAGAGATTATGAAATTTTTACCAAACGCATAATCCTATTCTTAAACTAGTTATTTCAATCAGCTTTATAAACCTGCAATAACTTCCTGATTCTGTTTTGTTCCCCCCCTCCACGCACACCCAACTCATGCGCAATTGAACTTCCATTGCTTACCTTGTTATTTTATAATATCAAACAAATTATTAGAGGTGTCAATTTTTGACACGACCCGAACCTGATTCAGAAAAATCATGGTTCGGATCAACCAGTTTGAGAAACAGGTCTAGTTCGGGTTCAACAAACTGATCTGTTTCAAAAAAAAAAAAAAGTCGAGTTCGGGTTGACCCGGCAAACCAAAAATGACCCGAAAACCCTCTGCCTGCGTCTGCTACACTCTCTGTGCGAAGCGTCGAGTGCTCGCCCTGCCCGGTCGAACCCGAGTTCGTATACTGCTGCGCCGCCCGAAGAGTCGAGTCGCATCTTGAAGCGTCAAGTCACATGAATCCCGAAGCGTCGAGTCGCTTTGAGTGCACGGTGCGGAGCGGTGCGTCCCGATGTGTTGAGTCGCGTAGCTGGCTCGCTACATCGCGTGCTGCCGTTGCCTCTTGCCGCTGATGCTGCTGCTTCACCACTGTCGTTGCCGCTGCGTCGCCGGGAGTAGCAACCGGAAACCCAATCGTTTGAGATTTATTTCAAAAATTCAGGTAGTGTCTTGTCAACCCGTTAACCCTCATGGGTCGGGTACGGGTTGAAAAAGTCGGCCCGGTTATAAAAACGGATCGTGCTTAGGTTGACCCGTTTAGAGATGAGTCAACTGGGGTTCGACCCGAACCGGTCCACTAACCCGAATTGACACCCTTAACCTGCAACAGCTTTCTGATTCTGTTTTGATTGTATTTATTATTTGTAGTCTACTTTAGTTGCACAACTTCTAATTTTAGGCTAGACTGCAACAACAAGATCTATCAGATCCTATATGACCGACAAACCAGATAATCAATTAAACTAGTGTTCCAGTAAGCAATATTTGGAAGGGTCATTAGTATTTTGGAGGAGCGTGTCGGTAGGCTTCCTGGGAGGCTTGCCACTTGCATTTTTTGGCTATTGAATAGAGCTTGTGGAGAGTTTTTGGATCAGAAGGTTCAGTCACAGTAAAAACAACAGTGGTAGTATCACCAAAAGTGTCTTTTAGCACATCAAATTTATTGGAAGATATAATATTTTTTGATGCAGGATCATTATGAAATTTGATGGTTTGATCAGGCTTGTGCAGCTCAAGGGGGATGGTTGTGTAAGTGTTGATGAAGATGTGGCTGCATTTTCATTTTGGAGGGGCTTGGAAGTGAAAGTTTGAGGATCAGTTTGATGAGTGGGAGGTTTTCGAAGACTAGAATTGTACAGTTGGCGCATTCTCTGATTCCTACCTCGATTAAAAATTTATTTATTATATGAATATTTAGATAATTTGTTCACCTTAATTTTTTTTACTCTTTATTATAGGAGTTTTTAGATAATTGCCCCCCTAAAAAAATTAAAATATTATATGATCTTTAGGTTTCTCTTTGACAAAGCTAGAGGAGGCGAGAAAGGAAGAAGAAACTAGAGAGCCGTTACTAGGGCGAAAAAATCCTAGCAAAGCCCCCCGGTTAAGCCCATCTAATCAGTCGCGCGACGTCATAGTGAAATCCTGCATTAATCTGTATGCTCGAATATGAGTGTCAAAATCACGAAATGAAAGAGCTAATTGATGGCCTAAATTATCCTCTTAACTATGAACTTTTATTACATCCGGTGCAAGGACGTAGAGGAACGTCCGGTCGGAGCCAAATTTTCGTCAAAAAACTCGGTATTTTCTCGGTACAACTAGGTATTATTTGATAATAACGATGAATACCGCTTTTTAAAGACCAATACCGAGTTATACCGAGCTATATCATATCGAGAAATACCGAGTTGTACCGAGTTTTTTCTAAGAAAAACTCGGTATAACTTTTGTATAACTCGGTATTGCTCAAGATAGCTCGAAATAACTCGGTATTGGGATTTCACATGATGTTATTCCTCGTTATTATTTGATATTGCTCGGTGTTTACTCGGTACAACTCAGTATTTGGCAGGAGTTTGCCTCCAACCGGACGTTCCTCTACGTCCGGTCGGAGGACGTAATAATTGTTCCTTAACTATAGATCAAATATTTGTAAACCTTATATTTGATCTTTCACCTCTTGCATTAAGAAATAATAATTTTATTTCAGAACTATTTTATTTATAATTTTTAGTCTTTTACACTAATTCTTCTTCTAATTTTAGACTAGATTGCAACAACAAGATTTATCAGATCCCATCTGAATGACTAACCAGATATTGAACTATAGAAAAATCAACTGTCTTAATATTATTTAAATATTATTCAAACCAAAGCACTTCAAGAAACCATACAAATAGAAACTACTATAACAAAACATCCAAATTCAAACTCTTTAATCTGTTTCTTCATTAGTAGCCCCTATTTCTTTTCACCAATTCCCAAAGTGTTCTTCACCGCTTCCGTTGTTCCTTGCGCAGCATTCTTCACCGTCTCAGTAGCCTGCTCACAGTCAGTTCAACTTATTATAATATTTCATATAATCGGTAATTAAAATCATATATAATTGTAAATAATAATACCTGCTGTAGAAAGCCACCAGTCTTCTCCTTTCCCTCTACTGCATGCTCCTTGGCCGCCTCAGCCGTGTTAGACGCCTTGTCCTTGGCTCCTGCCGCCGCGTCCGATGCCTTCTCCTTGGCTCCGGCCGCTGTGTCCGACGCCTTTCCGAGCAGCTCATTTTTTTTCTCCTGCAACGACGGAACCAGAAAGTAAAGTGTGAATACAAATGGCCATTTTTTAGGAAGGAGCGCATTTGTGTTGAAAATAAGGAAAAACAGCGTTTTAGGATATAAATTTAAAAAGCAGCGAATATGCCAAACGGTTTGGCGCATTCAAAGAATGCGCCGAACATAATGGCGCTACGCTCGTTTCAAAAATTTGGCCAATACAAATTATATTTGTTCTCATAGAGAGAGAGAGAGAGAGGGAAACCTGAGTTTGGCCTTTGGCCTCGCCGGCATGGTAGGCAGCTTTGTCCTCATTCGACGCCATTGTTATTTTCTTCCTTTCTTGCTCAACACTACGATCAACTTAGGCAATAGGTGTGTTTGTAATGGAGAAGAGGGCGGAGCTTTATAGGAGGAGAAGTGCGTTGCCTGACTAACACGTGTCTTCGGGTGCATGGATAAGGCGACACGTTTAAGGCACCTGTCACGAGGGGGATGGTCGCATCGCAATGGTCGGCGAAGTACAGCTAATCAACACAGTTACATTATCGTAACACCTAAGGTTTTATCTGATAATAATGTATATTATCCTCAACCGCTGATTTTTATCAACTAAGTTCGCTCAACGACAAAAAATAAAAAATAATTAAAAAAAAAGAAATCAAATTGTTGTATAAAATTTTTTATACATATTTTGATAATAGATTTCTATTTAGGGGTTTTTACATACATACCACTTTATTTGTTTCATATTACATATTTAACACCTAATTTTTAAATATTACATTAATACCACCTAAATACTATTCATTTTTTTTTTCTGAAATTGTTCTAATTAAGTACGTGTTCTTTGGATCTTTATTAGTTTTTTTAAAAAAAAAGAAATAACGTATTTTATTTGATAAATAAAAATTAATGTAAAGTTATCTGGTGCCTGACAAATGTTTTGCTTCTGAGTATTTCAGAAATAAGATGGAGGTCTAAAATTGAAATTTTAGATAAAAATCTCAAAGCTAATTTTTGTTGACTAGAGAAATTATTACGTGCGGTCGTGCACTGAATGCCATCTGGAGGCGAATCATGACGCACCACATCACCATTTTGCTGTATAACATGACTACATACTGTACCAGATGATGTGACGCATCCTGACATCCGAATGATTTGATGACCACACATAATAGTTTATGTATAGACTACCTGCTCTATCATAGGGTAGACCAACTAGTAATTCAGCTGGTCAATGTGCTGGGCATGAGCACCACTCCACACAATGACCTCCAGAGGACCACCAGACTAGCCCTCTAAGGTTTTGTTAAAGATGGTTGCATTGTTTTATAAAATTGATTGTGATATTTCTTTAGAGAAAATAATTTCTCTATTATAAATTTATAATTGTAGGAAATAAATTTTTAACGTAATTTTTTTAAAAATAGTGAGAAAACAATGAAGAAATAATGAACAAACGAAATTGCAATAGCACTGCTAAAACCGAAGGAGTCAGAAAACTGTCCCAAATAGATCCTATGGGCTCACTTTTTTATTTTTCACATCCACTGTGACATCCTTGGATTGCTTTCAAAGCAACGAGCATTTTGATAATGGCAACCATCAGTTTGATTACAAGGATTTCAGTATGTTAATTATGTAGTCTTCAGACATATTTGGCTAGCTGTTCCTGAATCGAAGTAATGATGCTGTTCTTAACAAACACAATTGCAGATCTTGACTGAGACTTCATTTTTTTTGCTTCTTAAAACTTTATTTAGTATAAAAGTTTAGATTTTTGTACTTGAAAGCTGCGTTAAGAAGAGTAAAAAACTCGTCCCAAACAAAGCTTGAGACGATGGTTGCTAACAGAAACTCCTGACCTGCGTTGTAAATGGCTAACTTGAAGGCCATGGAGTGTGGAGACAAAAGTACCATAATACAAACTCCAGCGAAAGTAATTTGAGATTTGCTGCAATGAGCCTGTAAACAACAATTGGATTACTAATACAACTAACATTTTTTTATAAACCACTGGGAAATCAGTAGCATATATAATGATAAATCAGAAAATTTAACCCATAAATTTTCTTTGTCAACATAAAAAGAAGCTGTCCATATCTGAAGGAGAGGTTTATCAGAGATGAGCCAGAGACCTCCATTCTCAGGAGCTGAAGTTCAAGAAACCATCGCAAACGCTAAAACCTGAAAATTCTCAGAAATATGGAAAACACTTTAGCTAAAAATTCAATAACAGAGCCAAAAAACTAAGCAAAAATAGATCTCAAACACTTTGCTTGAAACAATCCAAAATTATGATATGTTTGTGTGAATTCAAACTAATAAATCATCTCATCAATTTCTCAAACAAGAAGAATCATGAAACATGCATAAATACTGACAAACCTGGACAGCAAAGAAAGGGAGTGAAAATTTTGGTTGCAGGAGCGCAGCTAGGATTGGGAAAATAAGTGGATGGGTTGCTATATAATACAAGTAGTGGGCCACAAATTATTATTTATAATCCATTAATTAAAAATATAATCTTAATGATGAATCGAATAACTACTAATTGAAATTCCTTATTAAATTAAAAATCTTGTTATTCAAAATTTTTAATTTGGACACTTAATGACTCTCCTACAACCAATGTCTGCATTCGGTTTTTGAGTAATTAGATCTATTATTTAATAATTACAACAAAGACTCACGAGAATGCTATTTTATTAATGCTGATTTTTTTCGGAATTTCCACATCAGAAGCTCTCAACAACTCTACATTCTTTTTCACAAATCCTATCAAGTAAAACTTACTAAAGTTCATCCTCTACACTTCTTCCTCAAATCTTCAAAGCTATAACATCATATAATCACATGGCATGGGTCATAGAGGTGTGGAATTTTCCGAACTATGAGATAATTAAATAGAGTTCTATATTCTAATGTGATCTATTCTGAGCAAAAAATATGAGTATTTTACAATTAAAGGTTAGTTCATGCTACTCTTTGTTTCTTACTAATATGGTTTTGCTATCAGCTCTAAAATAATGGCAGTGCATTTACATTTTTACTAGAGAATCTTTAATCATCTATTTTCTTTCCTAAGTTGATGTAGAACCAAAATTTACCAATACGTACAATCAAGATTAGTATAACATGGAGGGTTTTTAAAAAGAAATTCCAAAATTAGCAATAAGATTAGTTACTAGTTGGGTCCACTCACTCACACTCAGAATAATTTGGCATACAGAGAAAGCTTTCACAATCTAAATAATGCCACAATCAAGGGAGAGTAAGTAGGTAAAAGAGAGGGGAAGAGTTTAAAGAAGGAGAATACGAAACTCCGATGTGATCATTTTGGGTGCCGACAAAGAGAGGACAACAACATGGACCTTATGGATACTGTGGGATAGTAGTTTTGTAAGCTTTGGAAGGTGGACATTAAACTATATTTTGATGGAATCTTTGGACAGCAAACAACGGACCTTCGAATGTTGGGATTGCAAGTAATCTTGGTTGAAATTTCAAGACAGTTAGGAGAAGTCTTCAAATAGAAATCATGGACAGTAGTGTGGATTTCCGGACAGTAGAACAACCATTTATCTTTATAGAAACATTGAAAATAACTTGGAGGAAGAGGATCGTGGAGTAGGCCAGAGCTATCTTGGGAAGAGAGTTATTGATAGAATAATAAAAGGAGAGAGGGAAAAGGGGCAGCTGGTTATGGGGGACATTAATGGGTTGATTGGAGGTTTGAATTGGATGTATTAATTAGATTGGAGATAGGGTGAGGAGGCTGACCAAGCATGGAGGGAAAAGAGATTGGGAATTAAAGGGATTCCATGTTCTAGCTATTTGATTTAGGAAATAGGATTTAATGTGATCCTCCTTACGATTCAAATTCAAATACAAATTGGATTAATTGATGGGACTTTTCTAATTTAATCCATGTTCATTTGGAAAGATTTCAAATTTGAAAATTGGTTCAAAATTGAATTAATTATACATTGAAATTTATCATGATCTAATTTAGGAAAGTGATAAAGGCTAGAGAAAACTCTTGCTCAATGGAGGGGGAAGTGGTGGCCGGCAGCTAGGGTTTGGGGTGAAGGGCCGGTGGTGAGAGGAGGGGTAGGGGAATGGACCTTATGGTCGGCGGTTTGGAGGTGGGAGATGGGGCAGTCAGCCGATTTTTGGATGGTGGTGTGGTTCTGCCGAGAGGGGGGAGGGAGGGGATATGGCTGGTGGTTTATGGGGAAGAGAGGGGAGGAAGGGGAAAGAGGAGGTCGACCATGAACCCGGACGCTTCCTGCGATTGGTGGGTATTGCGATGCCCTCACTTTGGAATTTTAACTTCTCCAAGAACTCTTAAGCTCTCCTAAAATACAAAGTGCAGAAATTTCTTGTAATGATCTTCATTAGCCTCTCCAAAGAGGAGGGAATATAAATAGCTAGGATTTATAATAAAGAAATAAAAGACACAAATGTTCATAAGGGCACAAATAACTATTCCCTCAAGTGAGGGTAGAAATAGGAAAATGCATAAATAAATCAAATACATATAATGACTCAAAAATAAATTGGTGCGATCGTGGCTGTAGATCGTCGGCCCGTCTCTGATAAACTCTCCAAAGTCAAATGTCCTTATCATAAGTCCTTCACGAAAATGATGTTGTATAGTTATATATTCAACCACCTTTTGATTTGTGTTTTCTATGGCATCACTACCTAATAATTGTTGTTGGCAACTATTTATCAATGCTTATAATGTCTAAGAAGCTAGTTATAGTAATGGAGTTCTGCTATTAGAAGACATGTAAACCAACTGCTCGATTTGACATTTATGGTCTTGAATAGTATTAAGTATAAGATGTACTTGAGATGTCAATTTAATTAGAACTGTGCGAAGTTTCGACATGATGACACTGGCGTGGAAGCTCTCAAATCAGCATCAAACACTCGAAATATTAATAGTCTTTTCAATCTCTACATCCAGAGAAGTCCCCCAAACATTCAAGCTAGCAATGTCAAACTCATAATTCTATCAATAGGAAGATGGAAAGCTTCAAAAGAAGAGCCCTATGGTTAATATGTTGATTTTTAAAATCAATAGCAGCATATCATCAACTCACCCGTCTTCTGCTATCTCCATTCTTGACAAGCTTATCGATTTAGCTTCGCTCAATTCGTTTACATATTGCTCACATCCAAGGAAAGCTAATTGGTAGTGATCCGCACTCTGCAACAATTGAAGAATCACAAGGTCGATTAATGCCTCTTTGCTTGGTGGCTTCATGCGATCTGCTAAGTATTACCACATATCCTTAACAAGACAAACCCTAAACTTGTACTAACATGATCATGGATTCTCTCATTTTAATCAAAATTTATGATAATGACATCTATTGATCAAACATGAGATATTATG